TGCTGAACAGGATTTTTTCTCTACTTTTACAGACCACTCATGTCGAAACCCAAGACAAATGTATTTCTTGGAGAATGTCTATGTATTTTTATTGCACCATATGCCATACAAATTCATAGTTTGTAAAGGTTGTGTTCACTGATGATAAAAACAATCTGATTCCATTATAAGTAATTAATAACTAAGTTTATTTTCATTCACCTTGGAACATTCATTTTACTTTTTGAACGTAAAACTAGAACCTTGTGGCTCTATTGTCACGTTTGACTTGCATTGTACACATTTCCACTTCAGAGAAATGCAGTTGTTTGGGTATGAAGCTATCAAGTTTATGCAAAACCTGTGACAACATGATCAAACAAAGCAACCTGATGCTTTGTTGTGCCGTCTCTGGGTTTGCTGATTAGTTTGTCTATAAAAGGTATTCAAGATCTTCATAATAGCGGTCATTATTTGGTCAGTGACTGGCTCCTTATAACAAGCGCAGTCTCTCCTGGAATGATGGATGTTGTGAGAACAGCCATTCATTTTGGCATCTGGGGAAGGCAGAGGAATGAATGACGCAGCAGTGAAAAATGATATTACCCATTTTTAAATTTCCTGTCATTGACTTCTGTTATTAAAAGATCAATGTTTGTTTATTTTATTAAGATGGAGTGGAATTTGCTTGTAACCCTTTCTCTTTTGAGGTTTGGGGAGTGATACTAATACACACTTGACATATTTCTATAATTTTTTATGTTGAGTGATAGTTTTTCTCTGATAAAACTCACAGAAAAAGAAAAAAAAATTAAAGCCACAAGCGGCATTGAATGGCCCTTGTCAGCTGCACAGCCTCAGACTCAGCCGCCCCGTGTCTCCCAGTTGTGGAGCTCGGGCCTAAAATCAACAGCAACAACAACAATAATGGATTTAATTCATACTTTTTATTTAAGCATTCACAGCGACTTTTTCATTTCCAAACTAAATGGTGTTGTATTGCCTGAATGTCTCTCAATATGCTGTAAACATTTCAATCAAAGAGTTCATGTTTTGATCATAAAAACACATCAAATATTGTGTAATATGCTAAGGTACCTTTGAAGCAAATGAATAATATCTCCATGGCAACGAAAATGTGGCATCGTTCCATCCGACATGTTGCATAGTGAACTTTTAAAATGAAATGTTCGTTAATCACAATTTCTATAAAATCGCCCTGCTTTCTTGGTCTTTCCAATCACAAAACCACATTTTCATACAGGTTGGGAAGCATGCCATAAACACAAAAGTATCATCTTCTGAGATCATTTTAAATGAGAAAAATCACCCAAAAACCCAACTCAGTTTTACACATGCATTCACAACTTGAAGAGCCCAATGTACCGTAAACTTCACAAAACAAAAAGTCTCAATTTGTCTGATATGCGCATCATATGTACAGCAGAGTTACACATATTTATTTCCAGCCTCCACCTGCCATCATCTTTACAGGTGGATAAATGAATTCATAAAACTGAAAATTGTTCTGTTCTGTCTAAGCTGAGATTACTTCATTTGGAGAGCAGCCGCTTTGGCACTGACAGGGAGAATGGATGCAAGGCAATTACTGCTCCATACCTGAGTTTCAAATGTGCAGCCTTTCCCCTGATTTACAAATATTTACATCTGAACCTGCAGCTGGCCACGCAGAAACGAATTAACCTGTGAATGATGATTCATCTGTAAACCGGCGCCAGCATCGCGCTCAGCTCCAGCGAAAATTTCCATAAATCCCACAGTAATTTGGAGCCATTAACTAACTAAAACAGCAAAGGACCCACTGATCATCGCTAGTGAGAGGTAAAATTAGTCATGTATTTGGCAGCGCACACTCATATCAAGTAATTGTTTGTAGGGGTCAAATCTTCCTCCATGTTTCAGAATAAGAACATCACTCATCAAGAGACAGAATGCCAGATATCTGCTTAGAAATGCAACTTGTGTGGGCTCTCAAACAGCCGCATAAGCACCAAGTCTAATAGTCAGCTCTTGGAAATTAATTGATCAATATTGTAATGAAGAATAGCTGAGGTTTATTATGACCATCAAACACATTTTCCTCATTCTGGTGTTAAATAAAGGACGTTATTACCAAATATGAAGATAAAATTCAACCTCAGGCAATGTAATTATAAATCAATTATGTCTGTATTTCCATGACGTGCATGAATGTGCCTTCTCGTAACTACAAGGCGAACACATTAGAATATAATGGGGAAAGGTTAATATATTCCAGTTCAATGAATAGTTAAATATTTATATATCAAGCAGAGATAGGCATTTTCAATCAGTTCATTTGTAAACCAATATCGTTTTGGAAAATGTTAACAAAGCATCTCACTTTGGACCAGAGCAGAGGAAATTGTCCGAACCATTTTGTATTTTTTTTTTTATGGATGCATGTATTTCTGTTGCTACTGGACACCTCAATTTCTTCTACGGGGATCAACAAAGCATGTATGTATCTATCTATTAGGAAAATGATAGGGACATGAGGGAAAAGGATAGAGGTAGCAACTAATGGGCACAGCAAACCAAATCCAAGCGACACTCTGGCTGAATGGGTAGAGCACACATGCCTGACAGTAAGAAGGTTGCAGGTTGGGGCCTTTCTCAGTGGAATCTTTTTGTACTTCGGGTTTCTTCACAACTCAACATGTAGATGCCCTAAACAAACCAGTGCTGCCCAATGCCGCTTACAGGTGGCTCCGGTGGCGTTGAAAGGATGGGTCAAATGCAGAGGACAAATTCCAGAAGGGGATGATAAAGTATGCTTTACCCAATCTGGAAAAAAAAATTGTGCTTGTCACTAAACTAAATCTGTGGTTTCCATATTGATTTTGTCAATTGTTTTGTCAATTATTTGATTAATAAACATGATATTATGAATGAAATCAGACACACTATACATGACACAAACAACATGCTTCAAATTATTGCTTCGTTTTAATTTTGTCAGGGGGGCCTGTCAGAAAAGTTTTGGAACCACTAAACTAAAAGATAAATGTTTTTGAAGTTTTTAAAAATTCTATATTTTTACGGGACACCGACGCTTTTCAACCACTCAGGTCTTCATCATGGCAGACAATCAACCCTGATGAAGACCTACAGTAAGTGGTCCTTTAAAATTGAGCTTTTTACATTCTGGATCCTGAAGAGCACCTGACTCGCACACACAACCCACAGCAGCGCTCACTCTCCCTCTTCCCTAAATACATGTTTTTGCTTGAACCACGTGAAACGATAAATTGCAGCCTATCATTATTTAGGGTGAATTATAAGGTGTCCAGTCACAGATATCTGGGAGTGCAGTTGGATTATAGACTGGACTGGAAGAGCCACATGGACACGGTGTTCAGCCAGGGCCAAAGCAGACTCTATTTTTTATGGTAGCTGCAGTCCTTCAACATCGACCTCCCTTTGCTGCGAAATGTCTATCCCACTAAAGCGGCCAGTACAATCTTCTTTGGGATGCATGCAGGGGTGAGGGAGCGGGTCAGTGGACAAAAACAGATTTGGACAAGCTTGTTACAATAGTAGGTTCTGTGATAGGGCGTACACTGCCTATAGCCCAGCAGGTTATTCAGAGATTCATCACACCAATGTACAAGTCTGAGCACTTCATCACACCTTTGTACAAGTCAGAGCACTTCGGAAAGACTTTTAATGCTCATACATACGGTAAATAATACGTTTTGGTGTTGTCTGTAATTTTCTCCAAAATATCAATAACTTCTATGACTATGTGTCTAAAACGTTATTGAAAGATATTGCCTGCTTTAAAAGGTTTAAAGCAGGCAAACTCAATGTTCAGCCTGAATGGAAATTTAGGCCCTTCAAACAATCTGATTGAGCTGAAAGGACGCACCTTAGTACTTCATCTTGTTTACTGGTGTTTTCAACAGTTCACGTTTTGTTTCAATATTGATGTAGACTTTATACCTCTATATTTTTGTAAAGAGAAATATATCTGATGCCGTCAACAAATGATTAAAACATAGATCGAAAGGTGCAAATGGCCCAAACATCATAGCTATCCAAAAATGAAAGACAAAAATATATATTATGTCATCAACAGCACATCATCTGTGATAACTGGGTCTTTTCATGCTTGTTTCTTGTAAACACACATGAAATAGGCAATTCTTAAGGATTGCTTTATCACCAATATAATGTTTGCATACAGCGACATTTCATAACGTATCAAATCATATTTTGATTAACAAACTTTACCACAATTACCTACTTTTACAGACATCTCCCAACAGCAAATTCTCTCTACGCGAACATTAGCAAGCCACCAATTGAGGCAGAGTCTTGGAGATAGACCATTAACAACAGCCAATACACGGACTAAGTAATGGAGAGAGAGAGAGAGACACTATGCCAGGACTCCCTTCCCAGTTCCCATTAGTCATGCTGCATGTGTCTCCCTGTTAGTCTTATGTATCAAGTTTCCCCTTCATAAGTTCTCAATGAGGAAATGATTGCGTTTCTACATGGTCGCTGGTGCATATTGTTAGCAAACAGCCCTCCTAAATGACTTTCTGGAACAAAACAAATATGACTGTGCATGGAGAAAACACAGTGAGGCAATACATCGGCAATAACTTCAGAAACTATTGCGCTCTTGAGTCTAATCACCTTGATGGCAACAATAGCAAACGATGATATAGTTTATAAATTAGTTGCAACTGATTCAGGGCAACTGCTTATATGCTATGTGGAACCCAGGACTGGCAAAAGTGTTAGGCCTAAACCATGCCTCAACAGTGCCACCTCTTGATCAACTTTAAAAATGCACATAGTTTAATAAGAGAAATTATCTTCAGGGGAAAGACATTACAAAAATTACTTTATTGGCTTTCTGTACATTCTGGCAAGGAAATATCTCTCAGATGAATCTTTCCTGCTGGCATTTGGTTTCACAGCCCTGACACTCCCAAAAATGCAGGAGAGCTTTTCTTGCAGTGAGTGACTGAGGATGCCGTCCCAGTATTTACACAGCAGTGAACCTCCGGGCAGTAAAACCTTCTCTGCCAAGTCTATCAGTGACAGACATATAGAAAAGAGCTTCTCACAGTCCAGCTCCTTGAAGCCGCTGGCGTTGGGGGCCATGTCACTCAAAATGACGTCAGCGTGGCCCTCGGGTAAGAGCTGCTGCAGTTTGGCGTGCGTGGCGGGGTCTGTGATGTCATGATGGGGCAGGAAGTGTGCGCCATCCAAAGCTGCTATGTTCAACAAGTCAAAACCCACCACTGTACCACGGGGAGCAGAAACATCTAAAACAGAAGGGGGGAAAACACATTAGATTATTGTTTTCCTTTTTTTTCAGTGTAATGTGACTCAGGCCTTCACTAATGCTTTAACGTCCTTTATAATATATATATTGTAGGTTAAGTAGGTCCAATGGGAAAATGTATGCAACACTCTTGGCTCAGTTTCACAGAGCCAATTTTGAGCTTTGGCCAGTGCCTGTGCATTATCCATTACATTGTGGTGGACTGCTGCCAAAGCACAAGAGAGAAGGCTGCACTCAATCAGAATATAGCCTTCTTTATGACCATTTATGTAGCTGGTTCTTTTAATACAATCAAAATGTAGACGTATTAATAGAGGATAAGGTGGGCCAATCATGGTCTAAATGGCAGCATGGTGGAGAGGGTAGTGCTCAGACCTCAAAGCAATTAAGTCTCCTGGTACAACCAATATTGCCTCTGACAGGTTAACCTAGTGGCATTAAAGACAACAGCAGTCAACTCAGAGGACTTAACAAAACCATTGAAATCACCAACACAGATCAGAGAATCAACAGTTAAGACACAAAAAATACACATATGTATTGGTCCATAGGGAGAGACCAATGTCCATGAATGTTGATAAATGTCCATACATGTTGTAAAATTTTAGAGTGTCATGGATCATCACCAAAACTCTAAAACCCAGTGGGAGAAAAGTGATAAACCTCGGAGAGATCCACAAAGAGAGAGGGATCCGCTTCACATGGACGGACGGGCTATAGATCCAAGACCTAAGCTACAGAACGAGGACCAAGGCTGCGCAGCGGCTGCAGAATGTGGACAGGTCCAGTGCAGGACTGTGCCTTCTAAAGGATGGGTCAAATGCAGGATATCAATTACCCTCTGCAGGATATCAATTACACAATGAGGATATCAGATGGATTTTCAATAGTTGATAGATTATTTTAAAAAGTTGATGTTTTTGCATATTTGATGTATTTGCGTAGTGGGTCCTTGACGTTTGATCACGGCTGTGTCTACAGTGCTCCAGGATCAATTGTTTGGTAGATTATATTAGATTAGTCATTATTATCTCCTCACGGAGAAATTGTCTTGGACAAACAATCAGAAGTTTTTCTGTGATGGGGTCCGTCAGCAGATAAAACCTTCCAAAACAAATGCTACCATGCTGACCACTTATACAGTTGCTGGGGTCACTACTACTAAGATCAATGCAACAAATTCAACTTTTTCACTAAAAAGTTGCATAATGAACCTTTAGGTACATTAAAGATCTCTGCTATTGGAAAGATAATGTATGCCTACTGAATAATCATGTACTTACAATCATCTAAATAGATTGGTGACTTATGTATTATAAAGGACAGCAACAACTCAAACAAAGGATTGTAACAGTAACTAATACAGTTTCAAGATCAAATACAGCATGATAAATGTTATGATTATACTGTGATATACGTTCTCTACATTAGTGAGGATGATACACTGCTTAGCATACATGGGCTCAATACAATGACGTAGTTTTATCAAATAAAACCACACAATGTTAAATTGCAAAAGCATTGTCCTTCTCCAGTCCATCCTCATAATATCAGATCCTGGAGCTCACCTGTCCCGGTGGAGTTGACTCTCTGCACCGCGACTTGGCTCCAGGCTCCCGGCGCAGCTCCACAGTCCACCACGGTTTGTCCAGGGTGCAGCAGCTGGAACTTCTCATCTATCTCCAGTAGTTTGAAGGCACTTCTGCACCGAAAGTTCAGAGCATGAGAGGCTTTGACATACGGGTCTCTGAGCTGCCGCTGGAGCCAGAGCTTCTCCGCGGCTGTTTTAGACCCGCTCTTCTTCAGGACCCAGGCTGAGGAGTGGAGCGACCTGCGCCAGAGCCACAGACCACAGAGAGGAGCCACAAACACGCTCTTACCCCTGCATACAGCCGAACAGACCCATGGCTTTACTGTTGACATTTTGGAGGGTGTGCAAGCTATCTTTTCGAGCATGCGCGGAATGCGTGCTTCTCATTGGATAATAAAGTGGTGTCACACTTGTGCGCTCCCCTCAAAGCAGTGAGCAATTGAATGAGTTCCTCATTCAATTGTTATAACATTTTAACCTAACGATTAATCATTTTGTTGGTTATACGATGACATATTTAATAAATTATCTATTTATATCCCAGTTGACTCCGCCAAGGCTATATTTCGAAGCTCACATAACCAGTTCGGGTTATAGATCCATGGTTCACTTCGGCCCCTCTGGTCCAGACATCCACATGACGTTTGGCGCGGTCCACGTGGGACTGCAGCGAAATAATTTTCTTTCCCGAATCTCTTGTTTTCTTGTTTGTCGGTAGTTTTCACATCAGATTAGATGCTGCAGTGTAGCACATGATACACTGTTCAGTGTAGAGAGAACTAAAGCGTGTGTGTGTATAAGGCTGTCCTCTCCTCTGTGGGAGACACAGACAGTACCGGAGACAGTGCGATGCTGAGCCCAAAGCTGTTGACCCTGGTGCTGGTGGTGCAGCCGGGCAGAGTGCTGCTGGGCATGAAGAAAAGAGGATTTGGAGCCGGGAAGTGGAACGGCTTTGGGGGCAAAGTTCAACCCGGAGAGAGCATTGAAGACGCCGCAAGGAGGTACAGCCATGGGGTACTGCTGGATCTCTACAGGTTCATATAGCAGTGATCAAATAAAAGAATGATCACTTCAGAGAAACGGAGCACTGGGAATCAATACTTGTATAATTCCTTGTACACGTTGACTTATGAAGTAATAATCCAAGAAATTAGTTAAGTTGTAGTACAAACTTATGAGGGAAAGCTTCTACTCAATAACAAGAGTCACTGGCATTCAGTTCCCTATCTACAATCTTATATGGATGAAAGACAACATTTTGGTTGCATACATAACATCTGGTATTTTCGGGAACTAAATTTCTGAATAAGCAGTGCATTTCACTTTCATGCATATTACACCCAAAAGTATTGATTACTTGTAGACAGAAGTACCAGACCTGTCAAATATCATGACTGTACCAGCTCCGGTCTGTGTTGTATAATTAATAGTTACTTAATGTAACTTAAGTTCTACGAATAGGTGCGTAGTCCCTTAGGACTTCGCTAGTGGGATATCACTCGTGACCCCCAGGTCACACGCCAGAGAGATCAAAATAATTTTCTCCAATCACCAGCCACCTTCCTCTATAAATGCCCCTGCACAAGGCCGCACCCCCTCTTGAACTCTGCCAAGCCGGGCTGGCCTGATGGGCTCGTAGCTAAGGGACTACGCACCTATTCGTAGAACTTAAGTTACATTAAGTAACTATTAATTCTACGTCATGGTGCTACGTCCCTTAGGACTTCGCTAGTGGGACACAACGCGGAGGCCGTAGGAAAATGTACTCCCAGCGAAGGGTGATTGGAGCTCCGCCCGAGCAAGACCCTCACAAGTGAGAGGACTCAAGGCAGAAGAAACAATGCGTGTTACAGGGCCACTCCTACCAAGGATACCCCCACGTAACACAGATATAGGTCATCCGTAGTCACAGGACGCCTCTCCCAAGGGCTCCTGACGTGGACTACCAGACCGACCAAAACACACATATATGTACCGCACCTGTAGGATGCCTCTCCCAAGAGCTCCTGAACCAGGGCGGAAAGTAAACCGAAGGCCCCCTCAGAGGAGGGACCTAACGGTCTAACTCAGTCCGCTGCACTCAGCACGGAATGGGCCACCGACCGGTCCGACACATCCAAAAGATAAGACCGGACGAAAGAGGAGGACGAAGCCCAAGCAACCGCACGGCATACGTCCTCGACCGACACCCCCCTGAGAAGGGCCGTAGAGGCCGCCATCCCACGCGTGGAATGCGACCTGAAGCCCACCGGGAGGGCCAGACCCTGCGTCTGATACGCCCGCCGCACAGCCGTGGCAACCCAGTGCGCCAGCCGCTGAGCCGACAGCGGGTTGCCCCTGTTCTTGGGGCCCAGACACACAAACAGCTGATCACCCAACCTGAATGACGCCGTCATGGCCAGGTAATGCCTCAGCATTCTGACAGGACACAGAAGGTGCCGCCGCTCCTCCTCGGGGGAGGCATGCGGTGGCGGATAGAAAGCCCTAATCCTGATGACTCTCGACCTAAAGGCCGACGTGATGACCTTGGGGAGAAAGCCGGATTGGGCCACAATACCACCATGCCGTCACCCTCTCCACGGACAGGCAAGACTCATGGACAGAGAGCGCACACAAGTCGCCCGCCCTCTTAGCAGACGCCAACGCCAACAAGAGGGCCGTCTTAAAGCGACACACTCGGGACTCGCCTCCGCCGCCGGTTCAAAAGGCGGACCCGACAGCCCCCTAAGGACCACCCTGAGGTCCCAAACCGGGGCGTTCTCTGGAGCGGGGGCCTCCTCCTGCGTGCCCCCCGCAGAAAACGTTTAACCAACGGATGAGAGCGGGCTGTGAACCCCCCAAATCCGTCGTGACCCGAAGTAATGGCTGCCGCGAACACCGCCAAGGTGGCGACAGCCCTCCCCTTGTCAAAGAGCTCCTGTAGGAATCCCAGGACCCCCTCCAGCGGGCAACGCCTGGGATCCCAGGAACAAAAACCGCACCAGTCGCTAAAGAGCCTCCACCTCGTGGCGTAGGCCCTGACAGTGGACGGCGCCCTCGCCCCCTGAGTGGTCTCCACCACCGCAGGGGGAAGACCCCGGTCTACGAGGTTCCGCCTCTCAGCCTCCAACCCAGAGCCTGCGGCCGATTATCGGGCGTGAAAACAGGGCTCCTCCCCCCCTGGACTAGAGCCCCCGGCTCGTCCGGGAGGGCCCAGGGCTCCATCACCGCCATGCCCCTCAGGAAGGGGAACCACCGGGCATGCGGACTGTCCGGCGCCACCAGGATCACCGACCTCCTCTCCTGTTCGATCCTCCGCAGCAGGACCGGCAGGAGACGCACTGGTGGGGAACGCGTACAGCAGGCCCCCTGGCCAGGGGTAATGAGCCAGAGTGTCCACGTCTAAAGGCGGCTGGTCCGCGGCCCTTGAGGCGAACCAGGACGGGCACTGTGCGTTTCCTGCACTGGCGAAAAAAGGTCGACCACTGGACGGCCGAACCTCCGCCAGATCTCCGCAGCCACCCCTGGGGCCAGGCCCCACTCGTCCTGGAGTGGGCCCCCCCCCTGGACATCCTGTCGGCCCCCACGTTCCGGACCCCCGGGACGTGGCGCGCCCTGAGAGACAGGAGGTGAAGCGCCGCCCACAGCAGCGTCACCTTCGCCATGCGAGAGCGGGGGACCTGGTGCCCCCCTGCCTGTTCAGATAGGAGACCACTGTGGTGTTGTCTGAGCGCACCATCACGTGTCTCCCCTGCAGCTGAGGAGCAAAGTGCAGCAGTACCCTGTGCACTGCCTCCATCTCCAGCAGGTTGATGTGACGGGCTGAGTCCGACCAGCAGCCTCCTACAGAACTCTGGCCGAGGACCCCGCCCCATCCTTCGAGCGACGTGTCCGTGAACAACTCCACGTGAGACACGGCGCCGGCCAGAGTCACTCCGTCCCGTAGAAGACCCGGAGTGAGCCAGAACCTGATGTTCGATGCTGCCACTTGGGGAACCCAGATCAGCCTCCCCCCGTCCCGGGAGGGGTGAAGCCTGAGGCGTGAGAACCACCTCTGAAAATTCCTCATGTGGAGAAGGCCTAGTCGCACCACAGCATGAGCCGCCGCCATCATTCCCAGCAGGGACCTGAGGCGCCGAGCGGGGACTCTGGGGCCCGCCAGAACCTCCCCGAGCAGACGGGTAGTGTTCATCCGTCTGTCCACGGACCATGCAGCACGGAATGTCACAGAGTCTAGCTGCAGACCGAGATAGATCATGCGCTGAGCCGGTTGCAGCCTGCTTCTACGTCATGGTGCTACGTCCCCTAGCGGACTTCGCCAGTGGGATATCACGTGCACCTATTCGTAGAACTTAAGTTACACTAGGTAACTGTTAATTTTCTCCCTGTTAACCACAAAGCCCAGGCGCTGTATGTGGGACAGGACCCAGTGCGTATGACTCACGGCCACTTCCCTGGATGAGGCCAGAATTAACCCGACGTCTATGTAGATTAAATTCTTACCCCTGCTCCACGGCGCGAGTGCGTAGCCCAAGGGGAAAACGACAGTACTCGTAATTCCTCTCTCCCACTGCGAAGCGCAGAACCTCCTGTGTTCCGGTACTATCGGCACGTGGAAGTACGCATCTGTCAGGTCTATGGAGGATATCCAATCTCCCTGCCTGACACACTCGAGGAGCTGCTTGTGGGCAGCATCCGAAACTGCCGTTTGGAAATGCACTCGTTCAACACGCGCAGATCCAAAAAGGGACGCACCCCGCCTGACTTCTTGGCACTAGTAGTAAGGGGAGTACAGCCCCCTGGTGGCCTCCTGCGGGTCTACCTCTACTGCTGCGCCTAGACTCAGCAGAGAGGAGACCTCCGCTTGCAGTGCCTCTAATGACCCCGTACCTGAGAGCGTGCTGCCCGTACGCCTCGGAATGGTGGTGGCTTCTGGGAGAATTGCAGTGCGCAACCCCTGCGCAATGTTCTCTCCAGCCATAGATATGTCAGCCATCTTTGCTCCCTCCAGATGCTGTAGAAGTCTGTGAGGAGTGGAACGGGAGCTGGAACACGAGACGTCACGGCCCCGCCCTCTCCTGGTGTTCCTAGCAGGGAGGGGGGGTGGACGAAAGGGCCGGGGGGGCACCCTGCGTCACACCGTGAGCGCCGGGGGCGGTCACGTGTTCTGCAGGCCCGACGTCATAAGTACGGGACTGCTCACCACACGTGACTCGGCTGCTGTGCCCCCCCCTGGTTCTTGCCTCATGGAGGGGGGGGCGAGCCCCTGGAGTGGGAAACCCCGTGTTAGCCTTGTAGCTCTGCTCGCCACACATGACTCGGCTGCTGTGCCCCCCCCTGGCTCTTGCCTCATGGAGGGGGGGGCGAGCCCCTGGAGTGGGAAACCCCGTGTTAGCCCTGTAGCTCAGAGATGCTAACACGCGTTCGGCCGAAGCACACACATATCACTCACCAGATCCCTCCGCCTGACCTCTCTCTGGGAGGGCATAGTATGGATCAGAGAAACCGGAGCTCGTAGTTCGCGTAGTGCACTGCACGCCCCTCTCTCTGGGGCTGCAGGCCTAGCGAAGCAACGTTATGTGCCCGGGAAGTAACACAATCAGAATTCACAATATTTGACATGTTACATACCCCCAAATCAGACTCAGAAAAGTAATGATGAAATGCCGGTCGGCCTTTATTGAAGGAAAAAAAATTTTCACCCCGGCCTCCTCTACCATAGGGAGGTCGGTGGTGGGTGCGTTGCTCCCGCGAGCCACCCATGGGTCTGTCTGGACCCGGGGCCTCGTCAAGGGGGGACAATGGATAACAGAGCGCGGATACGGGTCAGGATGCCTCCCGGGCCAACGCTCTCTGCCTCTGTCCCGGCTCCGTAATGGCTGGTGGGCCTCGCGCCTCGGTGCTAGGTGCGGGGCTAGCCTAGCCGAGTCTTTAGCTGCAGACTCCAGTCTCGCCACCCAGGCCTGCATGTCCGGGCCGAAGAGGGACATCTGAGAGGTGGGCAGGTCCAGCAGCTGCCTCCTCTCCGCCTCCCTGATATTAGCCAGCCCAAGCCAAAGGTGCCTGGCCCGACTTGGGCTGCTGCCATGGAGCGGCCACCATCCACAGCTAGCGTCTGGCACATGCACAGAGTCGCCGCCGAGGTGGTCCTCGCCTGTGACAGGAGGTCTCCACTGAGCGCCTGGCCAGAGGAGAGCGCCCTATCCAGGGCCCCCGTGATGAAAGTCATGTTGTTAGCCAATGTCTATCCAGCCTCGGCAAGACATCCTGTCCCGCTCGGAGAGAAGGAGAGGTCTGGTGCCGGGCCACACGGATGCGGAGGGCTGCAGGGCCATTCGGACTGAATCCTCGATCACCGGTCCAGGACCAGTCCTGCCCGCTGCAGTATATGTCGTACCCCAGAGCAGGCCTCTTGGCTGCTAGGGGCTTAGGCCACTCACGTGTCGCGTAATGGACGAACGGGTCCATCCGCGGGCACACGTGGGTTGCATCCTCCTCCTTCCTCGAGTGGTGGCACCCACAGAGGTGAAGTCCTCCACCGTCTGGATCCAGTGACGACGTCCGACGCCGGAGGGCGAAGGAAACTCGGACGAACAAGGAAGACATCTCAGAATGAAGTAAGTACTGTGGTAGATCTCAAACGGCGCCAGAGTGAAAGAGGGGGTGCGGCCTTGTGCAGGGGCATTTATAGAGGAAGGTGGCTGGTGATTGGAGCAAATTATTTTGATCTCTCTGGCGTGTGACCTGGGGGTCACGAGTGATATCCCACTAGCGAAGTCCTAAGGGACGTAGCACCATGACGTAGAACTCAGGGTTTGGAGTCAGGCCTGAATAAATTATTTACAGCAGTCACTCACTCCTCAGATGTTTTGAAGTTAGAGGAAGGAAGCCTGAAGGCACTCAGGACATGCCACTTAGTTTTCTCTCCAAACATGAGAAGGGTAAAAGTATGGTAGCCCGTCTTGTTTCAGTGGATTGCTGATGGAAACGTTTAACTTTCACTATTACTTGATTGAGTAATATTGCGTAGATTGTGACAAGGTGGGCAGTGGTTAGTGTACTCAGCAAGGGTTGGTTTCCTACTGGGGGCCTCAGTTTTTCCTAAAACACAATGGGACTAGGAATAAAAACTGCTGCAGCCTACCCCAAGAATACAGCAGTAACTTATGTGAAACATGTCCAAAAAGCACCATTTTTTGGAACTCAAAAATAGTACTACCCTTTGTACGACACTTGCATGTTTCTTTGATGTCATACTTACTTTACTATTTGACCTGACCCTGTTTCCCACAATAAACACAGTAACTAAAAAACATATATGAATTATTGATACAAGTGTAGGTTACGTCATGGATGTTGTGGACTAGCAAAGTAACCTATCATTATCCAGGAATGCTTTATCTTTTATGCATCAACCCATGTGGTCTTACTGTAAAAGTGAAAACCTAAAAAGTATGTACCTTACACCAATTCTACAATCTCATGTTGGCAGCTTTCAGTGGCTGTGATGCTTCCATGATGCGTAATTCCTAAAGTAAGGTGGCTTATAAAATATTGATATTTTTTACAGAGAGCTGCAGGAAGAAAGTGCTCTGACAGTAGATGCTCTGGAGAAAATTGGAAATATCAAGTTTGAATTTGTCGGAGAAACGCAGCTGCTGGACGTACACATTTTCAGAGCAGACTCATACAACGGAGAACCGACAGAATCTGAAGGTGAGAGGAATTTCATCAGGAGATCCTACAGGAACCAGTCACATCCACAGTGCATTTGGTTCCAGAAAACATCACATAATCCTATAATCCAATAAACTGCAAAGGAATGCTTTAATTAGTTATAGCCTGAAGATTAAGTACAGAGAAACTGTCCTCTGTCTCTTTCTGGTCTGTCATATGATCACATGTTGTCAGTCCTAAAATAATCAATTATATGAATTAATCAGCTTCATTCCAACAATGAGATCACATACTTCACATTTTCTTGTTTAACTAAAGGCAAAATGTACCATTTACAATAACTCAAAGATTTCATCCACTTTGTTTATAGTGAAAGCGGGTTTAAAACACTAGTTTGAGAAATGGATCAGGACCATTCTAATAAGGAACTGCCCAATCTTCTGAATCAATACATTACTCAATAAAGCCTTGGTTTATTGTTTTATGCTTTTTGTATTTTTTGTCCAATCCTCCCCATCTCCTGCTTTTTGTATCCAAACTTCTATACAATCCTGTTTAATTAAAAACCATTGTCACGCTTCCGCAAATAAAACTCTGGCTGCGCACTCCGGGGAAAATAGTTATTACTATTTGTTTATTGAAATTTGCTATAAATATTTGTGGACAGACAGGATTAAAGCACTTGATGTAAATGGTGCATGTAAGCCAAACTGAAAGGCAAATAATCCAAAACAATGAGTTTAGGAAAGAGAAAAAAAGTGATACTCTGTCTCCATTTTAATGCAGTTGATAATTGATATTGAGAGAAACATTTTGTTCCATGAGTTGATGTTTGTCTCAATTTTTAGTAACACATTTATAATAAATGTAATCCATGTAATAAAACATCCCAACCTGGAGTTTACCTGACTAAAATCTTTATCTCTGGCTCTCTTCTCCAGAGAGGATCCTTCCATGCCTAGCGTAAACTCAGTTTGTAGACTGGTAAAGTTGTAAAAGCCCAATGCGCTCCACCACCCGCTTTTATTCCACTTTTTCCAAAAACTGGGAGTAATGTTATAAACAAGTGAACTTTATTTCTCTCACATTGGGGAAACGTCACTGCTTAATTGTACATTACAGATTGAAATTCAGATTCATTTAAATGCCATTTGCAGTAAAACCACATTGGAAAAACTGTGCAAGACTACCCCGGTGTGCACCAGACGACACACACCAGAGCTCTTGCAACGGCGCCATCTTTACGGCCTACAGTAGGAGTAGGAGTCGGCCAGTAAATAGCTGCAAATGTATTTTTTAAGCCACTGCACTATCCTCAATGGTACATTCACTATAATTGTAAAATGTGCATTTCATACATGTAAAAACACTCAGTCAAACAAAGCGTTTGACTGTAATGGGTTGTATTTTCAGAGATGAGGCCCCAGTGGTTTGAACTAGACCAGATTCCCTTCAGAGAGATGTGGGCCGACGACAGCCTGTGGTTCCCTTTGATGCTGCAGAGGAAGAAGTTTGTGGGATATTTTAAATTTCAGGGCCATGAAGTGATCCTGAGCCACACTCTGGAGGAGGTCAGCGAGCTCAAATGAACTGGATGTGACTTGGAAGAAATGTAGACTTCAGGTCAAGCTTCCATTTAATACTGTTACTGTGACAATGGTTTTCTTTATTCAAGCGTTTTCATTCTTTCGTTTTGTGAGCGTTTTCATTATCTTCTCAATCCCACTTCTGGTGTCGCAATAACCCTGAGACTGTTTGAAGCATGGTAGGCTTGTTACAAATACATTGCCCTAATATCAAAAGTTATTTTTTGGATTTGAAATTTAAGAATGCAACCTGACGTGAACCAGCAACCCTCTGTCGTGTGTGTTACAAAAGTCCTGTGTTTCGGGGTGAACAAAAACCATGTTTGCTCAGTGATTTTCTCATTTATTAAAAACTGGTGACGTGTTTGGAAAGATGTTTAAATACACAGTATTTACATTATTTACACTGAAAGGTAATGTTTCCAGTATGTTAATTACTGAATGTCTTCCATGTCGTGGCACGCTATAGAAGGGTAGGAGCTACTTTCATGAATGTGTCATGAAAAACAAATACTGTTTTAGTTTTGATGCCTTGTTTGTTCTATAAATGCAGAGAATATTAATTCTACAACATTGTCAAGATAAAGCAAATGTCAAGTCTAAAAATAAATATTTCCTTTTTATAAAACTGCTCATTTACTTCATATTGATCCCTCTGTCAGTTTAGTGTTAGTTTAATGCTTTGTGATAATCAGAATACATCTTTTAGATAAGAAAATAATCTCAGCATAGCATAAATATAATTGTTCACTCGTGCAGCATTGACATACAAAAGTTCACAAGAGTTACATATATTACGATGTCAATTTAAACTTTGCAGATATGTTAATTCAGCGTTTAACAAAGTGCAGCATGTTTTTTTTTTTTTTTTTTTTACTAGTGTTTTTAGACCGGCAACTTCATTCCGTTGTTTCGACCAAAGAGACATCCAAGTTTAGGCTGGAGTTCTGTCCACACTTCTCCCATCTGGAAAAAAACACTAACTTTAAAACATCAAAATAAAAAAGGTATCAGACAAATCAATTAAGTCATGAAACTATTGCGAGCTGTCTGAAACATTACATCTAATCATCCTTTTGGTGATTACATCTTTGACTTTAAAGAAGCTTTAAAAAACACATTTAAAGTCCACAAGCTGAACAAAGTTAAAGCAGAGGGAAAAGGGATTGTTCCTCACCTCTTTGTGTCCTTGGACCTGCGAGTTAACAAAGGCACCGAGGATGTGGGACGTGATTGGCAGATAGGCAAAGATTAGCTGTGTTTCTTGATGAAGGCAAAAGAGGGAGAAATAGTTGCGCAGCTCCATGGTCTGAATGGCATTTTCTTGCTGTTGACAGAAAGAGAAAAATAAGTATGTATTGTGCATTGTAGAAAAACAGGCTAAAAGCAGACACCAAAGTGATCGAATATTCAGGCTGTGTCAAAGTTACAATTTAATTTAAAGCCAAAGAGAAGCCGAGTTAATTAAAATTTGTTTGAAGCCAGAGAACCAGAGCTGAAGCAGAAAAGCGCCCCAAAAGCCATGACTGCTCATAATAATCGTCAGTTTTCTACCAGCACTGAAAGGCGTCAAAGACAAATGGATTTTTCATTAGTTCGTGAATTTGAACTACCAATCATTGCCAATTGTATTAGAGTGAAAGCTATTATTATGTTTTCTTCAAACAGCTGCAGCTTTGCTTTCATACCTGAACTATCCTGGACTCCAGCTGCTCCACCGAGGCCTGTTCTTTGGGCTGAACAGTGGCGCTCATCATCTGCCTCTTCATCATCCCGTACTTGTGCAGCGCCCTCTGGTGTTCGTGCAGAACACCTTTCTCATGGCGTTCACATAAATCCTGCACATCACAAGGACAGGTTATACATTTCAATTCTATTCGAGTAAAAAGATGGTTATTGTTTAGCCAGCTAACGCGTGGTACAAACTCACTAGAGAAAGACAAAGATATACACATTGATATCTGCCAGCGCCCAATATGAACAACCTGTAAAGGGGACTGAAGAATTCCAAATAAAAGCTAACTTGGTATTAAAGTTGGGTCGATTGTGTTTTGATCTTGCTAGTCAGTACAGAATAACCAAAATAAAACACCCAATTTTAAACACTTTCCTGAACCATGCAGCACAGATTTATTTATTTATTTATTTGGAGGATAAGCCCCTAGAGATGAAACATCTCGTTTTCGAGGGGGTCCTCAAAAAGGTAACAGAGGTGACAGATACAATGCAATACAATAAAGTAAACAATAAAGACAAAGGACAAAAAGCAACAATAAACAATACTCACACAAAACAAACTCACACACACACACTCACACACTCACACACACACGCACACACCATGACTGTTGTAAATATAATTGATGCAGACAATAAATAGTGAAAATACTAAACTTATTAATATTAAAGGCAGTAAACATAGGATTATGTAACCCAAAATCAAAAGCAATGACACTGATTTTGGAGATTTCGCACAAGAGCATTCTTAAACTGAGCCAGAGAACGGAGAGAGCGAACAGATGAGGGCAAACTGTTCCAATCAGACGGTGCTTTAAATTTAAATGCATGTTTCCCGACTTCTTTTTTCAATCTAGGGACTGAAAAGAAGGACTGATTTGCATGACGCAAACTATAGGAGGATTCAAAAGGAATCAAATATTGTTTTAAATAGTCAGGAAAACTAAGATTAATACATTTAAAAATAAATAATAGCCAATGTAGCTGACGTCTGGAGGACAGAGAGAGCCAGGAAAGCTGCTCGTACAGAAGGCAGTGGTGCGTTCTAAAGGGACAACGGAGAATGAACCTGCACAGGCTGTGGTAGGTGACGTTCAGGGGCTGGAGGACAGAGGCAGTAGTGTTTTGATAAATTATATCACTGTAATCAAGAATAGGTAAAATCAGTTGACAAATGATCCTCTTCCTAACAGATAAACCAAAACAGTTCAATGAATGGTAAAGTACTTTTAGTCTATATGAAATTTTGTTTGTGATTGTTTGTATATGAATGTTAAATGATAGAGAAGGATCAAGCCACAAACCAAGATATTTAAATTTATCAACGACTGGAACTGGACACATGTCTGAAAAAGTAAGCTGAATTTTGTTAGAGAAAATAGGATGCAATTTTTTCTGGAACAACATGACAACTGTTTTTGATTTGTTCAGTAATAATTTGTTAGATTTTAGCCAGTGTTGAACAGAATTAAAGTCATGTTGGATAGATTGTTGAATATTACTGATGTTATCATTGGATGTCTAAATCACTGTATCATCTGCATAAAGTTGAATGCTACAGTCTGTACAGGCAAGGGGAAGGTCATTAATAAAAATGGAGAAAAGAAGTGGACCCAGTGACGAACCTTGTGGCACACCTCTCTCGATAAAAGAAAAACCAGAGTAGCTACCATTGTAAAAGACACATTGTTGACGGTGATGTAGATAGGAATTGAACCAGAGGAGTGAGGATCTGTCCAGACCAATACAGTGAAGTTTGTCTAAAAGAAGATAATGGTCAACCATATCAAAGGCTTTTGATAAGTCTATAAATAAAGCACCAGTAAAAAAAGAGTTGTCAAAACCAGAAAAAATGTCATTAGAAAACTTTAGTAATGTAGATGTTGTTGAAAAATGTTTCCTGAAGCCAGATTGGAGTGGAGATAGAAGATTTTTAGATGATATGTGTTCCGATAATTGATTAAAAACTATTGATTATTGAGATGGGCCTATAGTTGTTCATGTCACTGATGTCACCACCTTTGTGAAGGGGGATGACTTTTGCACGTTTCCAGGCAGAGGGAACTTCACAAGAGCTAAATGAAAGATTGAATAGATCTGCCAGAGGAAAGCACAGAACATGAGAGATACAACATGAGAACAGATAATTGATAGTAATTGATAACTACTATTCTTATTGCTAACATTTAGCATGGTTTAATTTTTCTACTTCAGCTCTATAGATATGAGTAAATTATATCCTTCTTTTTTGTATATTCTGCTTAAAAAAAGCTCTTGATGTATAGAATTACCGTGGAACAATTAAAGAGTAAAAATTTTAACTCTAGGAGGAGAAGGCTTCAACATCAGCTCATTACATTTATTCCATGACATTACATGAAAACACATCATTGAATCATGTGACCAGTTAAACCAGTCTATCAGACTTATTTTGATCCATCAACCGCTGGTTAAGGTTAGAGTTTCATTACGAAACACTGGTGTATGCAAGAGTTGTTTTCTTCCTTTTCAAGGTGGAGCTGCGGAGCCTGCTCTTACGCACCTGTCAGAGTCTGAAGTGTTCAGCTTTTTAAGTGTTAACTTACAACATGAAAATCTGAGGCCCATATTCAAATTGAGCTGGTGAGATTTTATAAAAAGGTGCGCTTCATAGTTGAGCAAGAAGTGCTTTTTTTTCTTATGAATGCTATTATACTACTCTCCCAGGGAGTAATGTAATCATCTGGGTGTGTATTTTTCAGTTAAAAATATAAAATAATTTCAGTAAAGCTCAGAATTGGGACATGGAATTTTTGGTGATCCGGTCAGGATTTTTTGTAAGGAATGGAACTGCTCTCTACAGGTGCTCTTCTAGTTTATTAGACGGGGACAGTATACATTATAATAAAAAATAGAAAATAATTAAAATATTCCAGAATATTGCAAATATGTTAGTTTCCATTCGTTGTGATCATTATTTCATCCGAGTATTGTATGAAAATGCCAAAACTAAAATGCAAAGCAGTTTTGAGATATAAACAAACCTTGTACGACTGCAGCAAATCCAGGAATAGGTTTAATCTTTCCACCACATCATCCTCTTCTCTTCTACCCTGCAGACACCACACACACAAGACACGTCATCCCTTAGCTCCAGATTTGAAAAATTGCATCCAAACAGGTGCTGTGTTTTGAGATAGGAGGCAATTTACTTGCTGAGCCGCTTTGTCCGACAACACCGCAAACTCCACGGACAAACTCTTGAGGGACTGACGCAGGGCTCCCCAGCTGCTTTGGGAGGACGCAAAGCAGGGAATCGTCGACGCATCTGAGCCGAGATTACTGCCAAAGACAGAAGGCAATATTGTTGTGTCTATTCTGCCAAAACTCACAAATCCCCCAAGTCAAGCAGCCACTGGAGACGACAACACAGAGGAGCCTGAATCCCCCTGAGATTATTTTTCATAGTCCAAAAACTTACAGACTTTGACAGTGTTCGCAGTGATGAAATACCTGAGCTCCTTGCCAAACAAAAGCAGATCAGTGGCGTTCTCCTTTGAGCGCTCCGCCATCTTCTCAGCCCGGTCGCGGAGTTTAAAGAAGCTGTTGTGAATGTTTCTAATGAGTTCTCGACTCGTGGAGAACTGGGCCTGGATGTCACCTGGGAGATATTCCTGACAGAGACAATAAAAAAACTTTACAGGAAACTTTCTGAAGAGATGGATAAACAGCTGCCATGTACGCAAAGGCAACTAATTAAAATAGAAAAGTAAAATAATTGAATTTGAGTCGTTTTATTTGTATGAGAGCTGTGTTTATACTCTTTGCAGACACATATATAGCTAAGGTAAATAAATGTATGGGTTAAATGTAGCTCTTATAGTAGAGGGCTGGTGCGTGCTTGTTCAACTTAGGACCTGGGGGTTGAATCAGTCCCACCAGACAATCAGATCCAGCCCACAGCTCATCTTCTAAACAGCTTTTTTCTTGAATATTTATCAAGATTCAGATTCAGTTCATTTGCCATAAAACCAAAATGGAATATCTTTGCAAGAGTACCCCAGTGTGTACCAGGCTAGTACACACCAGAGCTCTTGAATAAAATATTAACATACACAATACATTTTTATAACAAACATCTTTAAAACATGAGGTAAATGTATTTCGGATCTAGATTTCCTTCATAGTTTTCAAGCAATCTTTTTTCAAAACTAGTATTGAGCTCATATTTATTAAAGTAAAGAAGTTTTAGTTTTTTTTGTATGCGGTTGTGTTTTAATAATACATCTGTTTTATATAGTGCTCTTTTGGACACTCAAAGATACTTCACAAGTCATTACTGCAGCAGCCACAGCTGCCCTGGGGCACACTGACTGAGGCAACTAGACTCATTCTGGGAAATATGGGTGAAGTGTCATGCCTAAGGACATCATGACAGTTTACAGCCGCAGCCGCCCCACTGTGACACAGAGGTCTCCCATCAGAACACTAACCAGGCCTTTCTTAGCTTCAGAGGTCTGACAGTATCTGGCTTTCACATGTAGGTATGGCCACATAGTAGTCTGACACCCAACTTTGTAAGGAAGCTGCAACATTATTGCACTTGTTCACGAGTGATGAGTCTCACCTTTGCTTGCGTTGCAATTCTGTTGGTCATAAACTCATCCCCAGTTTTTTTATTAGTATCTCGCAGCTTGGTCTGGACGTCCTGGTGGGGAAGAAGGATAAAAAGGTACAGTCAGGAAAAGCAGTTTGGTGTCGCTCTAACTAAAGACAATGGACAGAAAGGCAGACAAATCACATACAGTGCCGCTGAAAGTAAGGAAGGTTTTGACCAGCTCGTCCTCTGAGAAGAACGGATGTCGAGCAACCAAGTTAATAAATCTGCCCAGGGCGCGTCTCCTGCCTTCAATAAACTCCCGCTCGGAGACGGAGGTCAACACTGTGTGCACATGACAGACAGAACTGAAAAATATCACCCCAGTTTGAGCCAACTATTTATTTCTTAAAGGTGACAGCGGGCTTATCGACCTGCTCTGAAGCTAGAGTCTAGACTGTAAGCAATTCAATGGGCGAAAGTTATTGGAAGTGAATGGAAATAAAACAAAATTTATATAAGCATTTACTGTGTCATAGGTTTTGCTCTTTTTGGTGAACTCCCAACTTCCATGTCCACAAAAGCCTCGAGAAAGTCAGTGGGTATCACAAATAAACAGCTACATCTGCTATACATTTTGAAGCTAAAAGACAGAAAAAACAATTAGGGCTTTAAACAAATATGATGCATTTTTTGTGTCCAGATCTTGAGGATATTCACGTTTGGCCTTTCATATTTTAGAATGTGAAATAAATACATTGTTTCCATCTGGTTTATGAACATTGAGTTGCCTTGTGTATGAACTATGCTATACAAATAAACGGTCCTTTCCATGTGATAAAAATACCCAATATTAGTTGGAGCTACAACTCTGGATATTTCTTTGATTAAGGACGCATGTTGTATCAATTTGTGGTTGCATTTTTTTTTTAAACTTCACTCAAAATACTTTCTCTACAGCTTAATTTGGACTGGGTTAGGGAAGTAACTGAAAGTAATAAAATAAGTCTAATTTTCTTGTTTTCTTTTGACCACAATCAAGCATACAGACAATGGCTAAAGGGCATCACACCAACCCCGACCAAATCAGGAAGCTGCATTGTTCAATTGCATAGAATAGAGAATAGTATAGTCCACCATATGTTCAAGTAAAAATGTATTTAATAATCAAGTAAAGAAATCATGTTTAACTTTTAACTAGTGCATCATCACCTAAATTACACACTTGCTCATGACTTTCAGCTTGTACAGGATGGAGCAATGATAGAAATCTATAGCCACAAATGAGCACTTCCAGTCAAAAGATTGCACACATATCTTTTAAAAAGTGAGACATTGTGGACTGCATTAGACCCATTTTCCAGCCCACTAGTTTCTTTCAGCCAGTAAATTAATGAACTGCAACAACTGTTTAAAACAATAATACTTCTAGGGAAAACCATTTACACAGACACAGCGTGGCACCAATAAGTTTGTTTCAGGCAAAGTAATCGCTACCAAACCTACCTCCTTTGAGCATCCGCTTTGGAGGCAGCGCTGGGACGACTCTGTAGGCGAATCTCTGGAGCAAAACCTCATGGAAGACGTCAAAATCGCTGTATCGTCGATAAACGGATAATTTATAACGCTGTAAAAAGAAAATACTGGGATTCATTGGTCCATTAGATGTGTCATTTTACAGGCAGAATGTAAAAGCTTTATTTTCCAGTGAAACTATCATAAAAACACCATGTTCACTTTTGGTGAAATTAAATGGGCAAATATCAAAGTGCTCATGTTACACAAAATAGGACTTTGAAAAATACACATACTGCTATATGAATAATAACAATTATTAAACTAAATTAAACACTGTATCTTGAATAGCAAATGGTTGAGTCCAGGTAAGCAAATTTAATGGAATTATTCTATGAACTTACTCCTCCTTTTAGCCCTAACTACAAGTAAATAAGTAATATAGTTGTAGCAGTAAATATACAGCCTAAATATAGTCCTTATAAAAGAACCATCCAGGCAAAGCAGTAGCCATAAAAGTTACAGAAAACTATGATCAAATATTGATTACTATAAAACTAAAATAAATAAAACAGAAATGCCTATAAGGGTCTTAATTGTGGTATCAAAACTGAGAATTGTGCTTATTCCTTAATACTGAAGTGAAATGTAGTGTAAATGTGATTGGAGCACCTTTAAAACAGTGATGATTTAATACACAAGCGACATGGAGGGGTACGAACCTGGCTGGTGACTTGGTACTCCACATGTTTGAGGAACAGCCCCTTCTTCTCTGGGATCAGCTCGACCTGCACCGTGTCCCGGGACAGCAGCTTCTCCAGGCTCAGGGGCATGGTCAGCACATCGTCCTCCTGCACAGGCTGCATCCTCAGACTGCTCAGGTCTCTGGGCTCTCCAAGATGAGGCTTTGGTAACTCTGCCACAACAAAAGAACTATCAGCACGTTTGGGATATAGTAACGTTTTAAATATGGACTGAGTAAACTAAATATATACATGCTCTTGAGGTGGGAGGTATTGAGTGTTCACGTATAAAAAAACGGTTCTTATTTCAAGACTACCGGATATAGCTATTTGTAATCTAGTGATTACTCCCTAGATTCAATCAATTTGTTGGTTTGAATGCAAATTTGTATCTGAATTTGATGCAGAAAAATCCACTTGATGACATTCTAATAAGTTTTGTCTGGTAATATTGCTTATTAAATGTAACATTTATGGATTTCATGAAGAGCATTTAACAATGAATCAATCATTAAAATAGTTGAAAAAAAAAAAACATCTATTAGTTTTACAGTTGAGAAGGACATAATGTTACAGCAATGAATGCAGTGTTAAGAATTTTCCAGGGGACTGGGAGGCCATTGACAGTGATTTTGATTTCGACTGTCTATTGTTGCACACGACCATAATGCTGGTCATGAGCTTCATGTGATCTGCCATTCTTCTATTTCCCCCCATTTGTTCCAGGTCTCGTACAATGAAATGATATGAAATGCGTTTCAATGAATACAGAAACATAGTGATTTAAACTGGCAGGAAGTGGCATGCAGCAGCCACCTGAAATAACAGAAAGGCCTTAAATAAAAGACAGAAGGATGAATTTTCCCAGACCAGTTTAAAAGAAAACTGGAATGAAAACCCTCGACCTTAACCAACCCTATCATCCCCCATATGAGGAGACATATGCGGCCTACAGGCAAAACACCAAGATGCAATAACGAGTGGAGAAAAAAAGTATTTAACATAACCGTTTGAAATTCACTCCAGTTCTATTGCCTACAACCACAATAAAATATGACAAAAGAGTCAAATTGGTTGGCACAAAGTAGACAGATGACTAAGGCGATTTCCCTTGGTCACAGCGGCCAATTACAAAGCTACTCATTAAGCACAACATTTGGTAACTTACCCTGAATGCAGTTTTCCAGCAGTTTGGGACTAGGTTGCTTTCCTTGTTGGGCCAAAGCGATGAGAGCCAGGGCTTTGTAGAGGGCCAGCTTGTTCAGGTATCCGTCAGTGCACTCGACATGGTCCACAATCTGACGAGGACAATGACAGCGTCTCAGGTCAAGTTTTACACAAGATTCAACTGAAGTGTGGACACATTCCTCCCACAGAAAGTGCAAACTCAACACAAAAGACTGGTGCACCGGGAAACCAGGAAACAGCTTCTACTCGACAATAAGGCTTTGCACAAAGACCAAAACAAGATATGCTTAAGTTAGGACATGCGCTAGTTTTATCACAAAGTAGCGCATGTCCAGATAAACATGGCTACTTGATATCAACATAGACTTTTAAGCATGCAACAGAATCGAAACAATAAAACACTTTTTTTTGTTGCAATTATTATTTTCTTACCTGGCCTATGACTGACTTTGAGAGTTCAGTCTTTTGAAGTAATCGCTGAAATACCTCCAACTGCACTTTCTCATGTGTCCTATTGTGGATGGCCTCATACACTTCTCTGTAATAGGCAGGAACTGAGCCTGAAAGAGGAACAATATCTATAAAAATGCATCCATCGAAAAACACTTTCGTCATGGAATTTCATCATTTCAGCTGGAAGTGTTGCGCAAAAATATACGCATCTTAGAGTTTTCAGATATGAACAAATACCAACACTAGTATTGAAAACCAGTATGATTACTTTTATAGGACACAATTTGGCATTTCTTGAACACGCTTTGATACATTTTAAACTATCCAAGAACTTTTATAAAACCCATGTGGCCAAATAAAAAGTAATCGAATTTAGAGTTTTAAATAAATGTAATTATCACAGCAACATACTGTTTACTTGCTAACGGTAAGCAATATATAGCTTTCAACAAACTTCTTTTTACTGTTTTTCAAGTTTTGTTAACCAGTTTTAGTAAAGGTAAAAAAGAAAAATAATAATACATTCCTGGAAAACTCATGGACTTTTTTGGGACTTTTCATAATTCAATGGATTTGAATGAAGCAGTCAAAATGACGGCTCTGGAGTCCTGGTGTTAACTCAAAATTCTAGTATTTTCTGGCTTCGAAATAAAACGTTTTGGGTTTTTTGTATCCAATAACACTGATATAGTTTTTTTTACTATTTCAAATCACAAGTAAGACATAGAGGCACCATTTTATGCCATTTTTAAACATGTCTGATCACTTTTACATAGTCGCAGCAATCAAAACACAAACGTGGTTTATTGTACATTCAGAACTTTTGGGCATCCTCTCCTCAGCTGTATGGATGACAGGTTTTCGCATCACGTGGCCATAAAAATCTTACAAAACTTTGACTGAGGGAACTTTACCCGTGTTTACATCGTCGATCATCAGAAAGACGATCAAAAACACGTAGGGTTGTGACAGCTGTAAACTTAATTTTGACGATAAAGTCACGCGTAAAAGTGTTTTCTTCGGAGCGCAAATCCAAAGCGAGCATCCTCTTTAAAAATGATCTAGTTGAAATGCATAACACAGCCCGTTTGTAACACAACGCAGATCTGTCTCTTGGTAAAAAGTGACCTAAAACTAAAACTAAGTCAGACGTCATTACAATCTGTTGGTTTTTCCCACGTTACCTTCGTGGATCTCCACTGCCATGGCTCTGCTGCTGTCATGTGAGCGCAAGAGCACCTCCATGTGATTTCCTGCAGGAAAGAAAAAACAAGTCATTCATTTCTTAAAGTTGTAGCGGGAGCTGGTTAAAGTCCAAGGCGCAGTTAACGTGACGATAAAACTGCCACTTACATGCAGGGACAATAGCGTTGACATGGACAAGGCCGAGGTCAGTTTGGGAATAGAAAATCGCCTCTCACTTGAGTTTTTGGTCTGCTTTAAAGGAGACATGTGGTGATTTTTTGTGGTATATTTAGAAATAAACAATACCACACATAAATCATTCATGAACAGTGTCTATCTCGTTTTTAACAATATTTATCCAAATAATAATTTACAAACAGGATAATTGACTTCCTAAAACTTATTGAATATTCCATAAGCCCCACCTCCTCATATTTGGTCTGTTTGAGTATTTGTCTGTGTATCTCGCCTCACCGGTCTGGTTGCTAGGAGCCTGAAGATGTACGGTTTGTGTCTGAGATTCTACCTGAGGGCATTGACGTCAGTTCTCCTGGCAAACATGTGGCTCGAGATCCGTCGAGCCACATGTTCGACGAGAGAACTCACGAGAGAAGGCGGTGAAGTTGATCAAAAGCAGCTTCAGTAAACCTGGACTGCTGCATGGACAACAGATCATGTATGAACCAGCATTCTCCATCATGCATCATTGGTTGGCTGAGTGGTTAGCATTGTCCCTGTCTTGGGATATACAATACAATCCTTGAGCTCTTACAGCCCTGACCAAGCTGAGCCCCTGGGCACTGCCCCATGGTGACCATTCCATCACTGCTCCTGACAGAGGCCCTAGTGGTGATGAAGGATGAGTCAAATGTAGAGGATAATCAAGTATAACTTCATTTAACTTGACAGGTGCACTGGAGATTGGCTTTCAGGTGATTTGAGACGTTTGTTTGGATCAGAAACAGTCTGTTTGGCGGTGATCATCTTCCCTTGTTCTTCACTTTTGTTTATTATGAAAAAGATAGGTCCCAGGCTATTGCACTGTGTAGACAAGGTGAATAAAATGATTGTTGATGAGTCAAAGTTGAATATGCACAGACTTGTAAACTTTATAGTGAGCTCATAATACTTATCTGTGGTGGTGTGTGTGTCAGTGTGAGGGGAAATGGCAGCATTCCCACAGCATTATTCAGTTTGGATCTAGGCTCTGAAGCCTCTGATGATCTCGAGCTGTCCAAGATGATCCAGGGGTTTTCCTTGCCCCACCCTTCAGCGTCATACTCTCGTGTCTGCAACCTATTGTAGCCAGTAGTCAGCCCCTGATTTCCTTTAAATTGTTTTAGGCTCTCAAGTTTTTATTGAAATTGTATATGAAACAGACAAAATGTGGATCCATTTAGGAAACCATTTGTGGGAAACCAGAACGCTGTATAAACAATTTACTGGTTTCAGGAGCTGCATTTAGCAACTTGGCATTTAAACGGTTAAAATTAGTATATATTTTTTTTTCCTATAGAATTATCTCGCAGTTATAAATTCTCTTCTCAGCATGCAAGGTAAAAAAAATCAACAAAAAAATCATAAATCACTAAATTACCAGCTTAGTTCAAAGGTCAAAGACTAGATTTTAACATCTATGATATTGCAACCTGAAATGAACAGAAATATAGGCTACAACGATCATTCACAACTTTGACATTATTTGTTCTCTGGGCTTATTTCCCAAGAGTACAATCCTCCCATTCACAAAAAGATCAGCAGCCTTTAAGTGACTAGATCCCTTAAAGAGCTCCAGTGGAGGTGATGGGACAGTGCGCAGACAAACCGACAGAAGGTGATCGACCTAAACCTCCTCCTCAGCAGATCCAGCATAATCCCCTTTTACCCCAGATTTACAGAGTTCAAATGATTGTGGCATTTCCAGTTCAACTTAAACCTCTTCTTGTTCTACCGCCACAGCTCCACTGGGTGGCGCAACTGGGTCTTGTTTTGGTTTTGTGTGAGGGTCTGTGGAGTGGGTGGGTGCGACAACTTTTTTTGTTTTGTTGATAAAATACAATAAATATAATATAAAAACTGGAGAGAAACACCATGGCATTGTGTACGGCTCATAAAAGATTAAATGCAAAATAATTTCCAGGACAAGGACTCGAAGGACTGAACAATATTTTAGATTTTACAGCTAATCAGTTCCCAGCCTAAATGGTCAAATACAACACAACATTATACTTTGAAAAGACTGTAGTGACGGTTGGGACATGCAAAATGTAGTATTTATAAAAAGTAGTTGTAGTAGTAGTAGTAATTGTAGTAGTAGTAGTAGAAGTAGTAGTAGTAGTAGTAGAAGTAGTAGTAGTAGAAGTAGTAGTAGTAGAAGTAGTAGTAGTAGTATTAGTAGTAGTAGTAGTAGTAGTAGTAGTAGAAGTAGTAGAAGTAGCAGTAGTAGAAGTAGTAGAAGTAGTAGGAGTAGTAGTAGTAGTAGTAGTAGAAGTAGTAGAAGTAGTAGTAGTAGTAGTAGTAGTAGTAGTAGTAGTAGTATTAGTATTAGTAGTAGAAGTAGTAGTAGTAGTAGTAGTAGAAGTAGTAGTATTAGTAGTAGTAGTAGTAGAAGTAGTAGAAGTAGTAGAAGTAGTAGTAGTAGTAGTAGAAGTAGTAGTAGTAGTATTAGTATTAGTAGTAGTGGTAGTAGTAGTAGTAGTAGTAGTAGTAGTAGTAGTAGAAGTAGTAGTAGTAGTAGAAGTAGTAGTAGTAGTAGTAGTAGTAGTAGTAGTAGTAGTAGTAGTAGTAGAAGTAGTAGAAGTAGTAGTAGTAGTATTAATAGTAGTAGTAGTAGTAGTAGTAGTAGTAGTAGTAGTAGTAGTAGTAGTAGTAGTAGTAGTAGTAGTAGTAGTAGAAGTAGTAGTAGTAGTAGTAGTAAAAGTAGTAGTAGTAGTATTAATAGTAGTAGTAGTAGTAAAAGTAGTAGTAGTAGTAATAGTAATTGTATAAGACAAAGACGAACTGACCAGGATCGCTCCGGTGTATATCATTTTTGTCCACTGGGGGGCAGAGTGAGGCAGAGTGAGGCAGAGTGAGGCGCTACACCAGCCAGAAAGGGCAAGCACGATTTGCGACTCACGGCAACTTCCGGTGACTCGCGTGACTCAGGCGCTGTGAGCCGCGACTCAGCAGCCAGAAGTCGTGACTCACGGTTAAAAATAACACAATTCTTTGCTTCTCAGGGGTATCTGGGAATGATCAATGAGACAATATGGATCTGGAGGCATTGTTTACAAGTAATCAGTATGTTAGACACTCTACATCAGCTAGTATGTGTTTGTATAGCAGTCCATGTCCGTTAACCACTGACTCAGGCGCTGTGAGCCGCGACTCAGCAGCCAGAAGTCGTGGCTCACGGTTATCAATTTAACTTTTTAGGGGTATCTGTGGATTATCAATGACACATTGTGGATCTGGAGGCATATATTTACAAGTAACCAGTATGTTACACACTCTTGATCATCTGGTATGTGTTTATATAGCTCTCCATGTTCGTTAACCACTGACTCAGGAGCTGTGAGTCGCGACTCAGCAGTCAGAAGTCGAGGCTCACAGTTAAAAATACCACAAATCTTTGCTTTTTAGGGGTTTCTGGGAATTTCTATTGAGACAATATGGATCTGGAGGCATAGTTTACATGTAATCAGTATGTTACACACTCTTCATCAGCTGGTATTTGTTTGTATAGATCTCTATGAACTGTTCACCACTGACTCACAGCTCCTGAGTCGCGGCTCAGGAGCTGTGAGTCGCGGCTCAGCAGTCAGAAGTCATGGCTCACGGTTAAAAATACCACAAATCTGTGCTTTTTAGGGGTATCTGGGAATTATTAGGGGCAACAGTGACTCAATTGGCAGAGCTTTGGTCTTTGGACCTAATGATCGTGGGGTCGTGCCCCCACAACCACCTGCTCCCACTGAAGCAAGACGCCCCATCGTGGTATCTTATATACAGTCATGGGACCTCATGAATGAGTATGAGTACAAGTATGTGATAACGGCACAATACTAATATTGGTATTGGTGCATCCTTAGTAAAATAAACAGACTATAAAAGAAATGTCAGGTTTACAGTCATAGTGCAAGTGGTTGATTAAGTGATACAGGCCTAAATACAGATTATTACATGTATTTGCAGGGCTTATTTCATATTCTAATGAAAAATACTTTTTAGGAGTATTTATGAATTATTAATGTATCTGGATGAACATTTTCCATGTCCTCAGTGCCTCATACATACTTTACCAGCTGATATATGTTTGTATTACTCTATTGTTAACAAGTGACCTACGAGACATAAGTCAGGACTCGTCTGCTGACACCAGGGGGCGCTGTCTAATCTCCATGTTGAATCCTGCACGACGTTGGACATCTCGCTTGCAATTTAAATTTCACCAAAATATTGAGGTAAGTTATTTTGTTTCGTTTTTTGGAGTCTGTCTTTTAATCATTTTAAAGGGCATGAAACTTGTGTAAAATTCCTTGGTTGTAATTCTGTGGCTTCAAAGAATACACAAAACTTGCAGATACAGAGCAGAGTGTATACTCCATAGGACAAAAGATGAGGCAAGGTGTATAACACAGGTTTGGTCACATAAGAAATAAATAACTAAAAAACCACTGAGACATTATTATTTGTTATTTATTAATAATGCTAAAGGCATTTGAAAAAATACAAACAATACACAAACAAACACAATTATAAAAGCCACTTGTACCAATTTGTCCTTATAGTAAAATAATGTGGATGACAAAGTGAGCCAAGAACCCAGAGTAGAGATTTCTTTGTCTTTGAACAAACACAAACATCAGGGCATTTCATTTCAGGGCATTTTCATTCTAAAAAAAATGATTATTGTTAACTTTGGAGGATAGTGTGCTGAGGTGGACTTACTATTGTAAATAGAGAATTAAAGAGAAAGACCCTAATGACATAATTTTATATGATCATGTTACCGAACCCAGATGTTCAAAATACAGAATTCAAGTAACTTCTGTTGTGGTGAAATGTTTGAAGATGCTTATTTGAGCCTTTGGTGGCCCAGCGGCTGTATGACTGCTGCACGGCACTTTCCCTCATAACTGCCTCCGTGATCATCCTGAATCAAATGTTTTAGGGTTTCCAAAAGTGTAGCTCCCTTATACCCTTTAAACATCTGATCCTGGAGCATTATACAGGATACAAATGCAGTGGAAATACAGGTGTCATGCTGCAGCCATCAAGACATGTTTTTCTCCTTAATGCCTCTTTTCTCTCATTTCTTTTCTGTGCAAAAATTAAGTGTAGTTAACCGGTTATTCTTGAATTACAGAACTACTGAGACGACACATCAAGATGAGCCACACACAGAAGAGAAGGAAAACAAACTTTATAAAAAAATGCACAACGTAATTCACTTTAATAGACCAATTATAAAGAATAAAGATTTGGTTTAGGTTTGATACATTTCAGTTTTGCACTTGGCTGTAGCTAATACATTTGCACACATTGCACTATAACATGAACATTTGTTTCCCCACAACCACATGAGCTGTTACTTTGTCTCCCAATACAGGAACATATACAGCTCAGTCATGAATAGCAGCAGAGTGGTGCCGCACATCACTGGAAGGACATGTTGAGCTACGTGCTAATGTGTAGAATAAGCCCACACCTGTTCACTGTCAATCAAAAAGGTGTTGCTGCGGGTTCGAAGTAGTAGGGTCATTCTGCGACCTGCAGGACAGAGGCGTGTCGTGAACTAGGCGTGTAAACTATGCCTCCAGGTCCATATAGTCTCATTAGAAATTCCCAGATACCCCTAAAAAGCAAAAATATGCTGTATTTTAACTGTGAGCCACAACTCACAGCTCCTGAGCCGCGACTCACAGCTCCTGAGCCGCGACTCACAGCTCCTGAGTCAGTGGTTAACGAACATGGAGAGCTATATAAACACATACCAGATGATCAAGAGTGTGTAACATACTGGTTACTTGTAAATATATGCCTCCAGATCCACAATGTGTCATTGATAATCCACAGATACCCCTAAAAAGTTAAATTGATAACCGTGAGCCACGACTTCTGGCTGCTGAGTCGCGGCTCACAGCGCCTGAGTCAGTGGTTAACGGACATGGACTGCTATACAAACACATACTAGCTGATGTAGAGTGTCTAACATACTGATTACTTGTAAACAATGCCTCCAGATCCATATTGTCTCATTGATCATTCCCAGATACCCCTGAGAAGCAAAGAATTGTGTTATTTTTAACCGTGAGTCACGACTTCTGGCTGCTGAGTCGCGGCTCACAGCGCCTGAGTCACGCGAGTCACCGGAAGTTGCCGTGAGTCGCAAATCGTGCTTGCCCTTTCTCACACCAGCTCCAGCAGAGCCATAGACTGAGCAGGCTACTCAGAGCTGCAGTCTCCCCGTGGTCCTCGAACTCAACCAGCGGATTACTGGATGGACCTTTCACACGGACGTATCCTTTGGGGGAGCAGCTTCTTGAAGACATTTCTCTCCTGTACAACAAGGAACTGAAGACTCGACACTTAGCAGGATGTAACTATTCCACTGGCGATCATGTCAAGAAGAACAAAAGCGGCTACTTCTTGTTTTGCTCCACCGCCTCCTCCTCTGTGGGTGATTTAACAACCATCAAACCAGCCCCGGCTAACGCTAGCTCACATCACAGGTATAATCAACAACGCATTTCACTTAAGCTAATTGTGAATATGTGTAAAATGATATTTTTGCAGATTAGTGAGTGGCTTCCTGTGTACAGAGTTGACGCTAGACCTCCACGATTCACTCATATCTGGGTTAACAAGCTAGTTAGTAGTTAGCATGCTTTGGCTAACTCACTCCAGTAATGTTATTAGCTTCTCTCGCTTGACATCAAAGTCTTGTTTATGGTACCTGCATGTTCCATAGCTTTTACTATTAAAGAACATTTCTGGTATATAATGTTGATCTCATTACTTGAAATAGTTTTTATGAGCCCAGTTTTGTATGTCTAGATTTTTACTGCATTTTTTTTTAATCCTGCTTCTTCAGTGGCCACCCATAGTTTTTATTTGCTCATAAAAAAAAACAAATTGGTAATACAATTATACTGTCTACTTGCTATTGTTACATGTTATATGTTGTTATATGTTAGTTAGTCGATTTCATATTACAAGATTATTAATATGCAGATTTTGATTTACTTATGTCATCATAGTCTTATGTATGAAACAGTTGGAAACCTGCTTTTAAGATTAATTATTTCTAAATACATGCTGTAATATCTCATTACCGTCTGCAACTAACTCCATACATGTGCTGTTTTTATTTTTATTTCTGCAGTCTTTAGAGAGCCGGTGCCTCTTTATGAAGTGGTGTCTCCACAGAGCCCAGGCATCCTTTCCTGTTTGCTGAGCCCGGTCCTCGCTTTGACATCCACTCGTCATGGCAGCTGTGGTTAGCTACACTGCACCCTGGTGGGTCAACATCCTTCATCGACTCCCACACTTCAACTTCAAGTTCCAACAAACAAGCAGCGATTTCCAACCAGAGGACTGGCCTTATCAGCAGGTAATTAGGTGTTATCTATTTTGTGCCAAGTGTGTTTAGGAACAATAGGGACAATACAGAGAATGGAGGAAATGTGTTAAGTATTGTCAGTGGTACAAATGCCTCCCTTCCGCCCACCTCACTAACAAAGGCATGTCCCACTGCCCATTTGTTGATCTTCAATGGCCCCAAGTAAATGAATGACTAAATGAGTTTTATTTGTGTATTTCTGTCACATCCAGTCTTCCCAATCGAGGATACTTTCCAACTAGCCTGACGGATTTCTGCCATGTTTTAATGAAAGTTTGTAATTGGTTACATACATAATGCAAGTTAATGCAAAGCCAATGCTTGTCTATTTTGGAGTTTTATCATATATATATATATATATATATATATATATATTTATGAATTTTAGAATAGAGCACTCTCCAATCATCAAAACCATAACAAACTAAGAATACCAAATGGCTCCTAATTATCTTGTTTGTCCCTTTACAACTTTGATCTCGTGGCCATCTGTGTGTGCCTTGACCTGACTTTCAAGGAGACTTTGGCCAGCTGGCATAGTCATGCGTGTGATCCAAACACCTAAGCTGACCTGACTAGACCTAATTCTTAAATGGACATAAACCTATTAGCCCTGCCTGTGTAGATGTGTCAGATGTGAGTTCATT